CACAAAGTGGGCTAAAACAAAGAAGCTTTGTAGTGATAATTTGGTGTCTATGCACTCACTTGTATAAGCTAAATAAGCTTACAATCTAAGACCTTAGCTGAACATTTTTCTGTGTCCTAGGAGATTTTTTTTTGTTGATTCCAATGGTTGCTACATAGGTAATCATGTAGAAATTGTGCTCCATCTTTATAATCTCTATGCCCTTATTTATTTTTCTTGTTTTATTGTGCTGGCTAGAACTTCTGGTAGTATAATGAAAATTGTGAAAGCACACATCCTTACCTTCATGCCAGCCTAAAGGAAAAACAGTCAGTTGGTCAACATCGAAAGGTTTAGCAAATTTTTGAAAATGTTCTTTATCAATTTGAGAAAAGTTCCCCTCTATTTCTATTTGTCCAAATGTTTGGGGTTTTTTTTCCCCACGAGAAGGTATTGAACTTTGTTGAATGGGTAAACAATTTTTCTACATAATGTGACTTTTCTTCTTTGCCTGCTAATATGGTGGCTTATGTTGATTGATTCTCATACTGAATTTGTGCTTTGATTAGAAACTTGTTGCTTAATTCCAAATGTTTGGAGACTGTACTGTTTTCTTTCTGTTATTGATTCTTAGTTTGATTACACTGTGCTCAGTAAACACATCCTATATGATTTTAGCTCTTTTAAATTGGTCATGATTCATCTTATGGCATAAAATATATTCTTTTTGGTAGATATTCCACATGCACATGATAAAAATGTGTATTCTCCTGTTCTTGGATGAATTATTCTGTAAATGTTGAGTGTATTGTGTTGGTTGATGGTATTTTTCTATACTCTTGCTGATTTTCTGCATAGTAGTTCTATCACTTGTTAAGAAAGCAGTGAAGAAACAAAGGTTGTGTATTTGTCTCTTTATCAGTTTTTGCTTCCCATATTGTGAAGCTTTGTTTTTAGTGCATGTACATTTAAGATTGCTATATGTTTCTTATTGTCTCTTTAAATTATGCAATGTCCTTTTCTATGTCTAGTTATTGTTTTGGCTCTACACCCTTATTTTATATTAATATAGTCACACTTGATTTCTTTGGTCAACATCTGGATTACTTATCTTTTTTTAAGGCTTTTAGCTGCTTATGTATAATTTTAGTTAAATATTTTGCCATTTAAGTTTCATGTAGACACCCATAGTTTGTGTTTTAAACTATTATGCACCATATCTCTTTTACTTGATATATTTTGACCATTTATTCTTAGTGTTATTGTTGATGTACAATGGCTTAATTCTGATATTTTGTGTTTCATGTTTGTTTTCTGAGCTTTTAATTTCTTTAGATTTAATTTTTTGGTGATTTTTCAGCTTGTTAAACCTAAATATATGTGTCTTTCTAGATCTGGGATTTTTTAGCCATTTCTTAGAACATGTTTTTAGCAGCACCGTCTTTCTCTTCAGAAATTCCTAAGGGGTAAACATTAGATTTTTATATACCTCCCACAAGTTCCTAAAAAAATCTTTTATTCTTATCATTTATTTATTTTTATTGTGAAAATACCGTATAGAGGGAAAATCTTTTATTTTTTATATTAAGTTTTTTCCCTCTGTTGTTCAGATTGAATAATTTCTACTATTCTGCCTTCTGCCCCACTAATTCTTACTGTGTCTCCCATCAACTCCCATTCTGTTTTTAAACCTATATACTGAGCTTTTAATTTTGATTATTGTCTTTTTCAATTCTAATATATAATTTTAATTGTTGTCATTTTCAATTTGATTCTTCGCTAACTTTACTCACTGATTCTGCTGAAATCTCTCTTTCTCCTTCCTTTCTTCCTGCCTACCTTCCCTCCCTCCTTCTCTCCCTATCTCCCTTCCTTCCTTCCTTCCTTCCTTTTTTTCTTCCTTCCTTCCTTCCTTTTTTCTTCTCTCCATCCTTCCCTCCTTCCTTTACCCTTACTTCTTTTTTCTTTTCATTTCTTTTTGAGACACTGGGGTTTGAACTCAGGGCTTCATGCTTGTTTGGCTTGCTTACTTGACTAGCAATCTACTACTTGAGCCATGCTTCCAGCTTTTTGCCAGATGTTTCATAGAAGCACTTTTGTGGCTTCTTTTCTTTCTCAGGCTGGCTTCAAGCCACAATCCTTCTGATTTTAGCCTTTGAGTATCTATGATTATGGGCATGAACCATCAGCACTGGGATCTTTCTTGTATTTCTACACATCTGAAATCCTGCTAGCTCTCAGTAGGATGAATATTACATTTTGAGATTGGTTTTTATTTTAAACTCTTGTTTAATTTTTTGACAGGTGGAGGGGTGGGTGGGTGCTGTGCATTTACTGTGAGGTAGAAATAGAAGTTTAGCTTCTTATTCTGAGTCATCTGACACCTGCAAGGGTGCTGGTAGTTACAGGTGGTAGGGGAGAGGGAGAGTGACAACATGGTCTCCAACAACACTGCAAGGTTCATGACCACAAGAAAATCCTAGATCTTTATGAGGCCTCCTCTGACGCCATCCTCAGGGCTGAGGAGCACATCATTGCTTCTGTTGGGGCAGAAAATCATCTCCACTGACACCACAAACTGGGGCCTTCATGACCACAGACAGGATGAAAGTTCCAGCTGCCCATTTGACCTCTCTAACTCTGACCTGGCCAGTGTTTGTAGGCCCCATGAAACATACACATTACCCCCAACATCACCAAGGCTCAAGTTCCATGTTATAGCTGGCAAAAAGGTTGGGAGGCATGGCTCAGGTGGTAGAGTACCAGCCAATGAGTGAAAGCCTCAGAGATCCAGTTCAATTCCTGCTCTTGGGGGACAAAGGGATGTTCTGGATTCCCTCTTGGCCTTTTTGGGGAGGAAGGATGTTTGGCTGGAGTAGGAAGATTGTATGGAAAAGTCTTCTGTCTTGGCAAGAGCTCTGTCTTGTCTTTGGCTAGTGAGAGCAGGCTTTGGTTGGGGCTTTTTTGGTTTGCACCTGGTGACTGTTCCTTAAGGTTGGCTTCTTCAGCTCCAGTGCTATGACATACAAGGCAGAAGTCACTAGATTATCAGTCCCTAGCCCTGAGGACTCTAGCTCACCTGCCTTCTCAGCTCCACCTTTCCAAATCTTCTTATTGTTTTTTGTAATATCTAGGATTGTGTTTGTGTTTATTTCAAGTAATAAAATATATATCTGACCCATTTTCTTGACGTAGAAGCCTATCTTTATTCCTCCTGTTAAATACAAACTTAGCCAGGCACTGGTTGGTGGCTCACACCTGTAATCCTAGCAACTCAGGAGGCTGAGATCTGAGGACCACAGTTCAAGGCCAGCCAAGGCAGCAAAGTCTATGAGATTCTTATCTTCAATAAGCTACTCAGAAAAAGACTGATGCTGTGGTTTAAGAGGTAGAGTGCTAGTCTTGAACAAAAGCAACTCAGGGACAGCACCCCAGCCCTGAGTTCAAACCCCAGGACCAGCAATAGATCAATCAATCAATCAATAAAGTTGCTCTTAAACGCCTTCTCCATGGGGCTGGGAAGATGGCTCAGTGGTAGATTGCTTGCTTTGCATGCATGAGGCCCTGGGTTCGATTCCCCAGCACCACATAAGCAAAAAGAAAAAAAAGACGGAAGTGGTGCTGTGGCTCAAGTGATAAAGTGCTAGCCTTGAGCTGAAGAGCTGAGGGACAGCGCCCAGGCCCAACGTTCAGGCCCCACGACTGGACCCCCCCCCAAAAAAAAGCCTTCTCCACATATCAGATGGATTTCAGGAGTAGAGCTAGTTGGCCAAATAATACAAACATTTCCTGATATAGGGTGCTTATATGCATTAAAAAGATTGTATCTAACTGGGCATCTATAGTCCTGAATACTCAAGATGCTGAGATCTTAGGATCATGGTTCAAAACCAGCCTAGATAGACCACTCACGATTCTGAGCATGCTACCCTGGTTACATTCCCATCACCATAAAACTCAGTTTTCTTCTCTGCATATATAAGAACATTGTATTAACTCAAGACTCGAAGCATTCACACACAGTAAGACCAAAGGAGCCCATTCTAAGAGGAGGAACACAAAGACACAATGCCTTTGTGCCTCTGATTATATATTATTTATCCAAATGAACACCAGAAAGTGGAAACAAGAGGTTTTTTCCCTTTGTTGTTTTTGTTTTCTTTGTGTCTTGTTTGTTTGTTCAATCTGTCTTTGGGAGGATAAGGGGGGACACAGAAATGGAGGGACAAAGGGTGAAAAAATGGAGCAGTGGCAATCACTAGTCACTATGTGAAACTAGATGAACTATATAACTCGTATGTCAGGATGGGAGGGAAAAACTGGGAAAGTAAGGGAAGGGGTAGCACTGTCCAAAAAGAAATGTATGCTTTCCCTGACTTATGTAACTGTAACTCCTTTATAATAACAATAAGAAATTAAAAACAAAAAAGTACTGTGTGAACTAATGTATCCAGAAGGGCTCCATAATATTAAAATTACATACTCATGTCTGTAGCAAGAGTGGGAATCCATTCCTTTGTCCATTCAGTTGCTCATTCATTTATTCATATATTTATTGAGTCTCTGGCACCAATGAAGTAGGAGGGCTGTGGAGTGAGTGTAACTTGGGAAGAGCAAGGATGCTAGGATGTGAGCCAGCCCCTCTTCACACCCCGTCCCCTTCATCTTTGTGGTCCCATTGTCTGGGCTTTCTTCAGTGGAACACCAGTGGCTCAGTGTGGGGTCCAATGAACTTGCCTGACTCAAAAACAAGCTTTCAAAAACTAAGATGGCTGCACAGCTGGACTGCAATAAAATACGTCTTATAAACTCATAATAAGGTGCCCAAGAAACAAACTACTTTTTGAACTTGAGACTCTTGATAAACCTAAGAGCAAGCTTTATAGTGGACAGACTACAGGTCATGTGAGCATGATGGCTGCCCCCAAGCTCCTTGGATTCTGCCTTCCTCGTGTTTGAATCCCCGTGAGCTAATCTGATTGATGTGTGGCAATGGTGACACCCTTGGCTTGGGCTTTCAGGTTGGAGTCCTGCCCCGCCTGTGTGATGTGCTACGTGTGATGCAGGAGGAGCAGACCCAGTGCCTGCAGGAGCTCTCCAGAGACAGAGAGGATGCGAGCCTGGAGCTGCCAGTGCCAGGTATGAAGCCCACCTCAACGCAGGTGCATTCTGCAAGTGGATTGTGTCCATTGCCATGGGCTGAGGGAGCATGAATTCAAGGCCAGGGTGGGTTGGAGATTGGGGAAAAATCCAGTACTGCTCACTCAATCACCTGGGGCCATAATGGTCTATACAGAGGAAGGAGCTAGCATCTCCACTCCTGTCTTGGACCTGTGTAGAGAGCCAGACCATTCCTCTTCCTTTCTCTCCTCCCTTTCTCTCCTTTCCCCTCCTCTCTCCCTCTCTTCTTTCCCCTCTTTTCTCACCTTTCCTCTCTCTTTCTCCCTTCTCCCTTTCCATCCACTCTTCTCTTTTGTGTCAGTACTCAGACTTGAATTCAGGGCTTGGGTTCTATCCCTTAGCTTTTCCTAGTGCCCTACCACTTGAGCCACACCTCCATTTCTGGCTTTTTGCTGTTTAATTGGAGGTAAGAATCTCATGGACTTTCCTGCCCATGCTGGCTTCAAACTGTGATCCTCAGATCTCAGTCTCTACAGTAGCTAGGATTATAGGTGTGAGTCACTGGTGCCTAGCTAGCCAGTGTTTTCTTACCACCAGCTTCTTCATGTGCAAAAGGTGAGAGTTTGTAGAAACTGTGAGGTCATATGCCTCACATGCATGCTCTTGCCTTCATGATTTAGATGAGGGTGGGAAGAGGACTCAGTGTGGGGCTTGGAAAACTTGAGGTCTCATACTTGCTGAATGACTGCAGGCAGATGATTTAACCTTCCCTTTCCTTATCTATAGAATGGATGAGAATTCTAACAATAGATGAGATAAAGTATATAAAAACCAGGTACCAGTGGCTCATGCCTGTCATCACAACTCTACTGGAGGCTGAGATCATGAAAACTGTGGTTCCAGGCTAGTCTGAGCAAAAACAGATTTCAAGACCCATCTCAACATAAAAGGCTGGATTTGGCGATGCTCTCTTGCAGTTCAAGCTATTAATTGAAGAGATTGAGGTAGAAAGGTCATGAGTTCAAGTCCAGGCGGAAAGTTAGTGAGGCACTATATCAAAAACAAATTAAGAACGAAAGTATTGGGGACATAGCAGTAGGGCACTTTCTTAGCGAGTGGAAAGTCTTGGGTTCAATCCCTAGCACCCCTACCCCTCAAAAAAGCACGAAGGATAAAATCATTCCCTTTCTTAAGTTCTCCTTGCCATTCTCAGCTAAGAGTATAGAATTAAGAAACTCCGCAAGAATTCCAACATTGGTATCCAAAGTTCACAGCAGGCATGTTATCTCAGGTAAGAGGTGGGTCAATCTAAAACGTCCATGAAGGATGAATGGACACATTGAATGGGATCATTGCACACAATGGCTTGTGATTCAACCTTAAAAAGAGATGAAATACTAATGCACACGACAACATAGGTAAACCTTGGTGCCAAGTGAAACAAGCCAGACACGAAAGGCCACCACATGTTGATTCTACTTCAGTGCAATGCCCAGATTAGGTAAATCCACTAGCACAGGAATTGGATTCGAAGTTGACTGGGATTGTCTGGGGTCAGTGGGGGAGAGACTGCAAGATGCATCCAGGGCTTCCTTTTGGGGTGTGAAAATATCTCAAAATGTGATTGCTGTATAGCATTAGATTATGCATAAGCCAAATGCCACTGAATTGCACGTGTTACATGGTTCATGGTCGACTTTAAAATATATGATTTGACTTCAACTTAAAAAGACAAAGGGACGTAAAGGGACAAATAAAGAAACCCAGTCTTTTAGATGGCTTTGTGATCTTCAACAAATCGCTAATGTCTCTATTGCTAAGGCCTCTATCCCTGTGTCTATTTTAAGAGATGACTATGGAATTAAAAGCATTCATTCAGATAACACTGATTTCATGTTTGCTGGTATCAGGTGAAGATGTTAGAGGACAGAACATGAGGCAAGTGAGCTAGCCCAGACCCCGCCCATTGCTTAGGAATGCTTGGGAGCAGATCCTTCACCAAATAGGGGTTTCTTGGTTGTGTGTTGCAAAAAAAAGCCCAGAGGTGGTGTAAAGTTCCAAGCTGTCAGATATTTCAGATTTCCCTGCCCTTTAATTTCATGTGTGGCTTTTGACTTCTTGGTGATACAATGGCTGCTGCACCTCCAGGGAGGAGAGGAGAGTCTCTGTGCATCAAGAAGGATGATAAGGCATCCTGAGAGACCAAGCTTTCCTGCAAGTCCAGGAGGCTTCTGGTTCTACCTCCCCGCTGGACCATCCTGGCTACAATGGAGGCTGGAGGGTGAAATTATTTGTGTGGGGGAGGAAGGAAGGGGATTCCTAGGGGTTGAATTCAGGGCCTAAGTAAAGCACTGTCCCTGAGCTTTTTTGCTCAAGGCTGATGCTCTACTACTTGAGCCACATCTCCACTTGCAGCTTTTTAAAAATGGAGATAGGAGCCTCATGAACTTTCTTGCTGGAGATGACTTCAAACCATGATCCTCAGATCTCAGTCGTCTGAGTAGTTAGGATTAAAGGCTTGAGCTATTGGCTTCCAGCTGAAGGTGGGATTTTTAGCTATGCATGTGGTTGCCTTATCACAGCCAGCTCCCGGAGAAGGAAGAGAAGGCTAGACCATAAGGAGTATGCCTTAGTTCTTCTGACTGGGCAGGAGAGAGACATGCCTCAGTTAATTATGAGTCCATGAAAAATGACAATGAGATAAATAAGGAGTGTGTGTTCTGCCTGAGACTGGGGGAGAAGGTGGTGTTTGAACCCAGATCTGAGCAGCCCTGGTTGCTACCAGGAACAGATGTGAGGCAGCCACAAGGCCACAGCACACAGGATCTCCTGGGTCACTTGGAGGATTTTTATCTTGAAAGGGAGATGGAGAGCCCTGGAGAGCCTCTGAGTCTAGTGCTGTGATTGTCTGCGTGAGGGAAAGATTGCCCTCATCACAGTGAGGACCCCTGATTGGAGGACAAGAAGAAGTTCGGGGACCCACTGGGAGCAAGCCATCTGGGCAAGGGTGCTATCACTGGGACTAGCTAGGGTGTCTTTTTGTGGGTCCCCAGAAACAGGTAATCATCAGGAGTATAATAACTGAGACTGAGAACCAGATACTGGTGGTACAGGCCTGTAATCCTGGCTACTCAGAACACTTAAGATTGAGGATCACAGCTCCAAGCCAAGCCAGGCAGGTAAGTTCTTGAGACTTTTATTTCCAATCAACCAGCAAAAAAAAGCTGAAAGTGGGGCTGTGGCTCAAGGGATAAAGCACAATCTTGAATTTAAAAAAAAGCCAAGAGAGAGCTCAAGGCCCTGAGTTCAAGCCCCAGTACCTGTACAAACAAAAACAAACAACAATAACAACAACAAACAACTGAGATTGAGCAGGAAGGAAGCAAACCTATCCCTGTGGCTTGTGGGTAGAAGGAATTGCATCCACAAGCCCCTTGAAGCAAAGGCTCTGGAGGACATAGCCACCATTCTCCAGTGGTCAGAGGTGGGGGCAGGAAGCAACATTCACAGACCTTCACTTCTAGTGCAGGGGGCTGGGGCACAGGTGAGCCTGGATAGGGGCTACAGGAGCTATAGGGCCTCAGTACACAGTGAGATTGCAGGCACTGGGAAAATCAGGACCAAGAAAATAGGTGCAGGTAGGGGAGGGAAGCAGGCTGTTAGGTGGCAATATTGGGCAGACTCAGGGATGAACTGGTGGGGACGAGGTGAAGGAGGGAGACTACGGGATGTCTCCACCTAGATGTTTGCCTTTAGCAACTGGAGGAGGAAATAAAGGGTAAGGGGGGCATCAGTGGCTTATGCCTGTAATCCTGACTATTCAGTAGGCTGAGCTCTGAGCATCAGGGTTTGAAGCCAGCCTGGGCAGACCTTGTGATTCTTATTTGCAGTTAACCAGCAAAAAGCTGAAGTTTAAGCTGTGGTGCAAATAGTAAGGTGTTAGCTTTGAGTGAAAAAGCTAAGCAACAGCATCTAGGCCCTGAGTTCAAGTTCTAGTACCAAGAAATAAAGGATAATCAGACATCAGGGAGAGAAGTTCAGTTACTTTTTTTCACTGAAATTAAATAATTTATTACTGTTGCTAAAATGAGCACAAGAACTTAATATCCAATTTTGTTTACTTATGAGCAGTTTTAATTCACTTTTAAGTCCCAAGAGACCAGGTTTCCACAAGCACAAAAATTGGTTTTAAACAGGTCAGAATACAGCAATGGATGGATGAGAGTACTTTTATATGGACAGATGTAAAGAGAGTGAGACATTTTCTTTTACACAGAGTTTTACACAAAGTTTTCTTTAAAAAAGCATAAACTGTAACCAAACTATCATCATTAGAAAGACGACTCAATAGTAAATGAATTCATTAATATCTTCTGAATATAGAAGGCTGTTATTTTTTTCATAAACATACAGGGGGACTAGAAATTGACATCTTATAAGTAAAACACTTAGAGAAGCTTTTTGCTTGTTTTCTAGTTGAAATTGAGGTATGGAATGAGTGAATGAGTATAGATATCTTGGTATGTCCCCAAAATTTGTCTTTATGAACAAATCTTCACGATTAACAAAAAAGATACATTTGTTTGGATCAATTGAAATAAATGATATTTTGTTGTAAGCACTTATAAAGTCTTGCTACCTTACCAGCTGGTAGGGTAAAACAATATGTGGTAAACTAGGCACAGTGGCTTACACTTGCAATTCAAGCTACTCATGGAGCTGGTATCTGGAGGGTACTGGTTTGAGGCCAGCTCCTGCAAAAAGTTTGAGAGACTCTTATCTCAACCAATAGGCGGATGTGATGGCATGTGCCCGTCTTCCCAGTACGGAGGGAAGTATAAATAGGAGGATCGTGGTCAAGGTTGGCTTGGGAAAAAATGAGACCCTATCTTAAAAATCAGACCCTAGAAGTCAAATATTATCTTGTATCCAAATTAATTATAGATTAGGAACTAATATTCCCCCCACTGAAGTAGAAGAGGTAGCATCCTAAGTCTTCTCTTTGGGAAACTGAAAAT